GGTGCCCCTGGTTCATCAAGGTTTAAGTTGCTGTATTGTTTTAGGAGGACTTGGCCTAATATAGTACGTCATCATTAAACATGATTCATCCATTTATTTCTATTCTTTTGATTTGTCTGATATCTAGAATGATGATCTCAGTTTGACAAGATCCGTTAGATAGGATGAGTGCAAGGTCGTCTGTTTCCAAGATTGAAATCATACCTGCGATCTTGAAAAACTACTATTAAATGACAACCCTAAAAAAATATAAAGTTGCCCCATCAGCTATTTTGAACTATTGGAGGCCAGGGATATTATGACCCTAACCTTCAGAAGGTTGTCCATCTTAAAACACATACAGTATAACCTTGTTTGTAGACATAAAGCAGCTCTTCGAAGGAGCTGCAATTAGCTTGGGGTGTGTAATTTTGGGGACAGCATGTTTAAACCTTTTTTGTGTCCATGCCTTCAACATTATTCAGATCACAATCACACAGCAGCTCAAATATGGGGGTTGAGGATATAAAAATTGAAATACCATCTACGTGCAAAAGGTTTTTCTAAACTAAAACTGTCATGACTGTCATCACAACTCCATTCACCTGTCTAACTTTGCTGGGTTTATATCACTGCTCATCTGATCCACCAGCTCCAGTCTCTATTTAAGGTGTTTGCATTTAGTTATCAGGGCAAGTGGTGAGAGGGTTTTTAGCGTAGAGTAGTACAGTATTTATGATTTCCTGACCTGTTCTTTTTTTTCACTCTCTGCATTTAACCCTAAGGGGATGGGTTAAAAAGACAGCCCCAGAGTGGCAGTCTGTGGGAGTGGTTTTGGAACTCAGAACCTCAGGATTCCAAGCCCTATGCCCTAACCACTAGGCTGCCACTCCCTGCTCTGCCTCTCCACCACTGGGCCTGCCTCTTCCTGTGTGACCTCAGTGGTGAGTGTTTTTAGCATTGCCTTAGTGTTTCTGGTTACCTAGTCCTGTTCTGCCTCTCAACCACTGAGCCTGCCTGTTCCTGTCTGATCTGTTTGCCTGATCTGTCTTTTAACCTCTGGACCTCTGCGCCTTCCTTTTCTGATCTGTTTGCCTGACCTGGCTTCAGACTCCTGCTGGTTCTCTGCCGTCTGGGTCTGCAGCGTCTTGGACACTCTTGGTAGCTCCCGCCACATCTTGTTAACAGCCCGCCACCTGGATTCTACCTCACTCTCAGGACATGGGAACTGTTAAACCAGGTTAGTGACACACGTGTCCATATTATCCTCCATTAGATTTACGTGGTCACTAACCAGTGTTTCCTTTTACAGAGTTTCCTGTGATGGACGCCCTAGCCGCTGCTACTCCTATTATCCTTCATTTTAATAAAAACTTTTTGGATTATCCCACTTTCTGTCTTGCCTCGACTACTGTCATCAACTTCAACTTCCTGTTGAACCCATTAATTACCGCTGAACTGCAGAAAATCGTGTCGGGTTTGATCATCCCCCTTGA